CCACGGGACAGGACATGTGGTTAGATGAAAAAAGCAAATTGCTGGGGCAGCGTGTAATATGATTACATGTTTGTAGAAACTGTAAATTAAAATGAAATCATAAACACACACAGATATAGAGAGAAAAGGTCAAGGAGGCTATTTTGAGGGGCATGGAATAGCTTTTTAATGAAAACAACAACAAAGGTTAACAAAGTTCAGAAAGTCTGGGATCAAAGGGGGATGGCTTACAGCTGCCCCCCACTGTCTCCTGTTGCTACCCCATTTCTCTTCTGTCTCTTGCCCAACAAAGGAATAATAATGCTCCTCTCTGCCTTCCCTTCTCAGGCTTGGAAGTCCTCTGGTGCCGCGGGCTTTTCTTTCAGGTGGAGGTCTGGGGCTCAGGTCCGCACAAAGGTTCCACCCAAATCCTAACCAATAGCAAGTGAACTTCAAGATCTATTTTGCTCATTCACCCTCCTCTCCTGTTTTTGTTAACCCAGATACAGGTTGGTTTCTTTGTGTCCCTTGTTCCCCTAAATCTCTTATCACCAAGGCATCAGATCCTTTGCCACCTGAGTCTGCCAACCTACTTATTTGCTCTAGAGCTGCCCCACACAGGGTGGCTCCCGCAATCCTCCTTCCCACGGGAACCGCCCTGGAATTCTGCTTCTTTCTCTTTCATGTGGCCGGCCAGTGGGGTGGAGTAGCGCTTTAAGAGCAGTATACCGTGACGGAAAGAACACAGGCCCTGGAGTAAACCAGACGTGGCACAAAATCCCGCTTCTGCCATTATCAGCCACATGACCTTGGGAGAATTTCTTAACCTCTGAAAATTTCCTAACTTCCCTGAACCTCAGTTTTTGCTTCTGTAAAATGAGACTAAAACCTGCTCTTACAGTTGTGGTAAAAAATAAGTGAGATGGAAAATACCGAGTGTCCAACCCAGAGTGAGGAAAACCTAGGCAGTAGCTAGAATGATCAGGTGGAAAGGGCTGGGCTGTACTTGTGGGTAGACAGAGCCCACAGTGGCAGGTTCTCCTCCACCCTACTTCCAACGGGGTGACTTATGCACGAGGCCCAGCAGGCACTGTGCTAGGCTTCACGGTACTGCTATGGGCCCATGAAAATGGTTTTGAATGATTTTAATAGTAATGATTTTAATTTATTTTAAAATTACAGGAAAACTGAACATTTAGGTCAAAGAAATAGCAGTATTGTTATCATCAATTAATTATTAATTATACGTACAACTTTAATATTATATTTTTCCTTACACCAGCACAGTTGTAAAATATAATTTTTAATATATGTCTTTTTGTTTATTTGATAGTCCTCACTCGAGGCTATTTTTCCATTGATTTTTAGCGAGAGTGGAAGGGAGAGGGAGAGACAGAGAGAAAGAAACATCTCTGTGAGATAAAGGCATCGATTGGTTGCTTCCTGCACAGGCCCTGACCAGGGCCAGGGATCGAGCATGCGACCCAGGTATGTGCCCTTGACTGGAATCGAACCCAGGACCCTTCAGTCCAGGGGCCAACACTCTAATAATATATATCTTTTTTTTTTTAAGATGATAACCTTCTTCTTTTTTTAAAAAATATATTTTTATTGATTTCAGAGAGGAAGGGAGAGGGAGAGATAGAAACATCAATGATGAGAGAGGATCATCAATTGGCTGCCTCCTGCACACCCCCTACTGGGGATCAAGTCTGCAACCCAGGCATGTGCCCCTGACTGGAATAAAATCTGGGACCCTGCCCTAACCGGTTTGGCTCAGTGGATGGAGCATTGGCCTGCGGACTGAAGGGTACCAGGTTCGATTCTGGTCAAGGGCATGTGCCTTGGTTGCGGGCACATCCCCAGTGGGGAGTGTGCAGGAGGCAGCTGATCGATGTTTCTCTCTCATCGATGTTTCTAGCTCTCTGTCCCTCTCCCTTCCTCTCTGTAGAAAAATCAATAAAATATATATTTTTAAAAAATCTGGGACCCTTCAGTCCTCAGGCCATATCCACTGAGCCAAACCTGCTATATATATCTTTTTTAATGGAGGAATGAGCCCACAAAGGCAAAAGTGCCAAGAGCCCTTGAAAGTAATAATGTGGCCCTCACTTTCTTCTTTTTTAAAAAAAATATAGTTTTATTGATTTCAGAGAGAAAGGGAGAGAGGGCGGGATAGAAACATCAATGATGAGAGAGAATCATTAATTGGCTGCTTCCTACTGGGGATTAAACTCACAACCCAGGCATGTGCCCTTGACTGGAATCAAACCCAGACCCTTCACTCCGCAGGCTGACGCTCTATCCACTGAGCCAAACCAGCTAGGGCTGTGGCCCTCACTTTCAGCACTCTAAGAGGTTAGTTCCTTCAGATCTTTATAGACGGACTAGGGGAAAGGATGGGAGGGACGGAGGTGGGAGATGAGGAAGAGACATACAAGACCCGCAATGATCTCACTGTTTGTGATTTCTCCCGTACTGTCTCTGAACTTGATCTTTGCTTGGACCCAGTGGGTAGGGGACTGCATGATATGTCCTAAAATACCACATCACTAGTTGATGTCACTAGTTGGGTCAGGAATGTAAATATACAACTCAACAAGAACAACAAAACAAGCCAATTAAAAAATGGGCAAGGGGCTTGACTAGACATTTCTCCAAAGAAGATATACAGCTCAACATCACTAATCATAGGGAAATGTAATCAGAGCCACAATGAGATACCACTCCGCACCCATTAAAATAGCTACTATATAAAAAGACAAAGTAATGAGAATGTAGAGCAATTGGAACTCTTGGGCACTGCTGGTGGGAATGTAAAATGGTGCAGCCACTGTGAAGAACAGTTTGGCAGCCTGGCCAGCGTGGCTCAGTGGTTAAGCATTGACCTATGAACCAGGAGGTCATGGTTTGATTCCGGGCCAGGGCACATGCCCAAGTTGTGGGCTTGATCCCCAGTGTGGGGCGTGCAGGAGGCAGCAGACCAATGATTTCTCTAATCATTGATGTTTCTCTCTCCCTCTTCCTTCCTCTCTGAAATCAATAAAAATATATTTTAAAAAAGAAAAAGAGTATGGCAGTTCTTCAAAAAACTTAAACATAGGATTACTACATGATTCAACAATTCCACTTTTGGGTATATATACCCCAAACAATTGAAAGCAGGGACTCGGAGAGATATTTGTACGCCCATATTCATAGCACCGTTATTCACAATAGCCAAAAGATAGAAACAACCAAAGTATCTATCAGTAGATGAATGGATAAACAAAATGATATAAATAATATAATTCAGCCTTTAAAAAGGAAAGAAAGTCTGACACATGCTACAACATGGACGAAACCTGGATATGTTATGCTAAGCGAAATAAATCAGACACAAAAGGACAAACGTTATATGATTCCATTTATATAAGGTACTTAGTCAAATTTATACAGATAGGAAGTATAATGGTGGTGGTTACCAAGGGCTGGGGGGAGAGGGAATGTGGAGCTACTGTTTAATGAATACAGAGTTTAGGAATATGGAAAAGTTCTGGAGATGGATGGTAGGGATGGTTGCACAGCACTGTGAATGTTAGTAATATTACTACACTGTCCACCGAAAAATGGTAACACATATTATGTGTAATTTATCGCAAATTTTAAAAAAAGAGAAAAGGAATGCAAACACCTCCCCTTTTACCCAAGTGCCAATCGCTCAGCTAGCTGCCGAAGCATCATGTAGATTCCCTATGAAGGTCCTCTGCCCTCTCTTTCTCTTTCAGAACACCCTTCAGGGGAAATGCAGCTTCACACATGGCACTACCTCCATGGGAATACTGTCTATACCCCACTCTGCCATATCCATTCGTCAACGGTAAGGGCTCCGCCCCTGCCCCACTCACGAAGACTTTGCTAACCAATCTAAACCTCTACTCATTTCTCCCTTTTCTCCCACCAGACAACTAACAGTCTGAACTGTGTGCATCACTAACCACTGAGGACATATTTTTAGCTTTCCTTGGGGTTCTCATGCACCCGTTTCCACATCAGTAAAACAGACAATGCCTGTCCTAATGATAAATGAATCTGGGTATATGAAAACAAAGTTGTATGGGCCAACCATGTCTTTACTCCTCCCTTAACCTAATTAGCACATAATGAAAGTAATCAATGAATATATTATCTCATAAGCAGCTCAGCTTGGTGGGAATCCATTCTCCAAGTGCTGAGAGCATAACTCCAGGACAGTCTGAACTGTGTGCATCACTAACCACTGAGGACATATTTTTAGCTTTCCTTGGGGTTCTCATGCACCCGTTTCCACATCAGTAAAACAGACAATGCCTGTCCTAATGATAAATGAATCTGGGTATATGAAAACAAAGTTGTATGGGCCAACCATGTCTTTACTCCTCCCTTAACCTAATTAGCACATAATGAAAGTAATCAATGAATATATTATCTCATAAGCAGCTCAGTTTGGTGGGAATCCATTCTCCAAGTGATGAGAGCATAACTCCAGGAACAATGGGTTTTTGACACTGGAGTGTGTCACCAGAGGAGTGGAATTAGAAAGATGCAGAATTCCTTTCCAGGAAAAGGTGGGTTTCTAACAAACACCTAATCGTCATCATCATCATCATCAATGTTATTGAGAGCTTATTAGATCTGAGACTCTGCACTAGGTGTTTTATATAGGTTGTCTTATTGAACCCTCACAAATAACCCCAAAAGATAGGTATTATTTCCCCCGTTTTACAAATAAGGAAACTGGAGCTTAGAGTTAGAGAACTCGCTCAGTGTCCAAAGCTTTAAGTGGTAGTGCCAGGAACTGGCCCAGCCCAGGAGACTCAGATGCAAATGGCACTAAAGTGCACCCTAGTTGCCTTCTGCTTCCTCCCAGGAGCTTTCAGGGCGGAGGCAGCCAGAGGTCCTCTCCTCTGGCCTGAGGCCTCAGGGCATTCAAAGATGGGCTCGGGTGAGGATGTCGAGAAAGTGTCTACCGTTCCAACCAACGGGAAAAGGCCTTCACCTACCTCCTGGAGAAGGCGTGGTTGGGAGGCTAGTCATTGCCGTCAGCGGATGGGCACCTTGAGGACCTGGAGAAGGTGTGACTGGGAGGCTAGTCATTGCTGCACGTGGTGGCCAGATCTGTAGGAAGAGGGGGGAAAGACAAGAATGAGGTGGGGGGCTGGAGACAACTGGAAATGCAGAAAAGCCGTGGGTGCCAGATTCTCCTGGCCCCTTCCCCGTCCCCGCTTCCCTGTGGAGGTGGTCCTAAACCCTTGCTTGGTTTCCCTGTATCTCCTCGGGCTGCAGTTATCAAGAGCGGATCCGCGACTCCACCTGTATTGGGGGTTCACCATCTTTCCCGGGGTCACATTTACCCGGAAGATTTCTCCAGGCCCGAGAAAGTTGGGCACAGGTGTGCACATGAGCCGCAGGGACCCAGTTCCCTCACCCCGGGAGTTTGGGCGGAGCCACCCTCCCGGTGTCGGGGTTGGGGGTGCGCAGCACCTGCACCTGCTCGCGGGTGTCCTGGGGGCGGTGGTGCAGGGTGAGCCAGGCAAAGGAACGCGGAGGTGAGGGCCTTAGTCGCCTCTTGGCCTGAAACAACCGGTCCACCGGGCTTGGCCCGCTCCCCGCAGTCCTCCCTGCCCCGCCCACCGGCGCCGTCCGCGCACAGTCT